GCTTGCTCTGCAAACTGTACCTGCTTCAGATTCCTCTTATGGTATATATTGTCTCTAAAACCCAAAGGATCTATTAGTGTTATGCCCTTTGTTGTTATAAAAGGTACAAAATGCAGCAACTTGACCTTTATCTAAGAGTAATATCTAAGATCAATGGATATCTATAAACTCCACTGATGTGGCAGACCTCGAATTTTCATAGGATTTATTTCCTACCATCTGTCTCACAAAGGAAGACCAACAATTTTGGCTACACATAGGAGATAAAAAGAGGAGAATGTTGTTTCATGGAAGTCAAGTGAAGTCAAGCCAAGTGAAGAAAGTGTTTCAGGAAGGGGGCAGTGACCATTTGTTAGACACTCATGTTGGGTCAGGTGTGTCTTAAGAAATGACCTTTGTCTTTGGGGATGTGAAAGCCCTGATGAGACAGTTTCACTGGAGTCTCAGAGATGAAAATCTAATTGGAATTGGCATAGGAGAAAAAGGGAGAAGAACAGAAGATAAGGAATTTGCTATTAAGGACCATAAAGAAATAAGGTAATAACTGGAGTTAGGATGTGGGTTGTAGAGGTTTTTTCTTCTTTTGAGATGTCATGCTGTCGGGTATTTTGCAGATGGAATGAACCAGAAAGTTAGGAAAGTTAATAGAGCAGGGCAGAAATACAGTCCTAGATGAGAGAGGATAAGGTCTAGGGCCCGAGCACAAGTGTTGGCCTTAGGTTAGGGCACAGATAGCTCTCCTGGGCTGGCAAAGTGTAGGGTTACAGAAGTGAGTTTGGTAGGTTTGCTGATGGGACACTGAGGAAATTCTCTTCTGACCACTTCTATTTTCTCAATGAAATAAGTTTTTCAGCAGTCACTGAGAAATGAATGATGGTGTGAGGCAGGATTGAGTGAGAGGGAAATGGTGTGCCTCTCAGAGGCCTGGAGTCAGTGGGCTGGAGGAAGGCAGTGAGACAGCCAAAGTTCTAAGGATCCACTGGAGGTTTGTGGTTGTATATTTTAAATAGTAGCTGTCAACACTATTAGATCTGATGCTCCCTTTGTATAACAAATATTTTGTAATGATTTTACTATCTTAAAATAAAATTCATAGTTAATAAAACCTAACCACCAATGTAATTTCTAAAAAAAGAAAATGCTCGACCAGTAAAAGAAAAATAATTTTAAAGTAAAAGTAACATGTATTTCAATATAAATTCTCAGCACAGGTTTACTAGACAACATAATTAAGTTTCTAGATACTTGGCTTCTATGCATAGAATCACCTAAATGTGTGAACTACAAATGCTAAAGGATTTGTAGTCATCATATTGATGACTCAAAAATCATGAATGGTGGTATCATTAGTGATGGGATTTTTCCAAAAGGCACATGAAAAACATCAATCTTCCCTTTTTGAGATATTGGAGGGAGTTCCATCTCTTGAAATTTCAGTGTGAATTAAAATGGTGCAAAAATGCTTTGTTTATTATAAAATATAGTTTGGTTTTAGACTCAGATATATAGGTTTTCACCTACAGGAATGCTCAGAGGGAAATTTGAAAGTATGTGGGATGCTGTACTAACTTTCTTTGTGCAGGGCTTTCCCACACTTTGAAGGACATTTGGTATTCTTGGTCCCCTACTAGCTGCAGTGACAGTAATGTCCTCCAATCATTGTGATAACCAATAAAGTTCTCAAATTCTCTAAATACTCCCTAATACACCACCTAATATACTTCCTAATATACCACCATATACCACCTCCTATTCTCATTGTGTTCTATTGACTTACTGTGATTCCATTCATGATTGTTTCATGCTTTTCTGCAGCCACTGTTCAACTATTAAGGTATAGGCTTCGAGTAGGTAGAGAATTAGATTTAACCAGGGTTAGTTATTTGTTCCAAGGAAGTACAAAGAAGGAAGAGTGGAACAATGGGACAGGACAAGATAATGGTTATAATACTGGACCATGAATCCTAGATAAGTATAGAGGGAAGACGTAGAGGGAGGTTATAGAGTGTGACAAGGTGATAAAAGCAATAGGTTGGAGCATTTGGTAAAGTTAAGAAATTGTTAGAGTAGGGCTACTTAAATATGTGAACTAGAGAAAAGGGAGGTACTGGTGAGAATGTGGGGCTTTTGAAGCTGAGATCTTAGAAGTGGTACAGTTATTTGTAATGACCAGTTTGAGGCTGTGTTCATGGGAAAGGTGGCTGATAGGAGATGGAATTGCGATCACTGATGACACTGAGAAGCTAGGGGTGTGATCTATTTAGATATTGAAAAGACGTTAAATGATTATAGGAGCAGAAGTGGAGAGAACAAAAGCAAGCCAGGATAGAAAAGTCTTTAATAAATGAGAAGGAAGGGCACAGAAGAACTGATTCAAATGCATCAAGAAAGAATAGGCACTACAGTCTATTGAAATGTGCTTCAAAGCAACTAGAGACCTTTGGAGGTGGATGGAGAAACAATACTCTGAAAACAGCTATGAGAGGCAAGAAAGAGAGCTTCCACACACATACCTTCAGGCCCAGGAGAACTTGGGATGTTGGTGAAAAAAACTATAACTAGAGAGATTTTCAAAAGAAGCAGATCCTTAGGGAATAGTCAGGTATTGATAAAAATAAAATTTGATGCAACCTAAGTATGTGTGTTTCTATCATTTTCACCAGCAACAGCAGGAACTTCCCACCTTCTGAAGTTGTTCGTTCATTTTCAATAGTTCAACTATGTTGTCTGAAAGAGTGAACTTTCCATTTCTCTTTACACTTCATTTCAGATGGTTGGGTATCTATTGTGTTTTATGTGGCTGACAGTCTTGGAGGCATTGTGGGAAACTAAAACATGATGTCACTGAGAAAAGGAGAGAAATGTAATACAAGGGCTGTATTTGCACCGCTGCCCTGGCTTCTGAGAACCCTCCACTTGGTTCCACCTGGTTCCATGTTGCTAAGAAATAGGTCTTTCCTTCCACCTCCACCACTCTGTGTTCAGGCCGCATGAATTTCCAGCAAGCTTTTGAGAAACATGGGCCCTTGAACAGGTGGTCTTGATGGGGCTGGGCAGTTTTCGGAAAACTCTCAGGCTCTGATGACCATGATGTGTGCTAGAAAATTATAGGTGATGGGCTGCTCCTTGATTCTCATTCATTAATCAGCATTTATTATATTAATAATTATCCATTGTTTAAATTCTAGGCTAAGTATAACTTAGCCCTAGTGATTATTCTCTTGCTATAATGTTAACTTTTATCAGCTAATATTGATTTAGTAATTTTACATCTTAATTTTAAGTAAGATTGCTGTATTACTTCTTAAATTACCAGTGACAGACTTTATTAAGAAGCATGTCTCCCCATCATGGAACAAATTAACTTGTTTTCTATATTTTTTATGGCTTAGAATATTTTATATAGCATGAAAAAGATCTTTCCCATGACCTATCCTCTATTTTTTATCAAATCTATGAGGTTTTTAAAATTCATTTAATTTCATCAAAATTTTTGCATGTATTAATATATGTATTCATAATATACTTTTAAAATCTTTTCTATGCTAAATATTTAGCTGAATTTTCCTACTTGGTTTGTATCATACTTTTAGATTTATCATGAATTTAAATTTATTTGCAAGAGATTTACTATTTTATTTTTATTTCAAAAACATTTCTTTGAACCATTCTACTGACATTCTATTTTATAAATTATTTACTTCTATTTGAATCTTTGTTATTTCATCTATTTTCCATGGGACAATTTTATGTATTTTTAAAAATAAATTTATGAGTTGATTATTTTATTAATTTCCTTTATTTGGCTTTTAAGAAATAAGCACTTAATATTATGAATTCATCTTTTAATATGATTCTAGATGTAACTTGTAAGTTTTTGTGATTATTATGTTCATTGCTTTCTAAATAGCTGTTGATCATGTTATTTTTTCCCTATGTAATAGTATTTTTGGAGAAAGAATGCATTTTTAAAAGTCATCATGTGGTGAAGTTGTAAAATTTAAACTTTCATTCATATCTAATTTTATTCTATCATTTGCACAAAGTATAACTTATTAAATTTTCATTTTAAAACTTTATTGAAATTTACTTAGATTGTGGTAAATATTCCAAATGCTCCAAGAATTATTTAGAAAGAGGTATTTTCTGTTAGCAGACTGCCATGCATCTAAAACATGGTCATACTTATATTTATTAGTTATAGTAGTCATGTGTTTAATGACTTATTTGTTACTTAAAAAAAATTGGCTGGTGGTTTCATAATCTGTTGGTCATGTAATGACATCTCCCAAAATAATTGTGTCTATGTCATTGTCTCTTTGATGTCTAAAAAGTTTTGCTTGATTTTTTTCCTATGTTAGTATTATTATATATGTCACTGTTATTATAAATTCTCCCAATTATACCATTTTAATTTTTCCAGATTAAAAAAAAATTCTTTCATTTTAAAATTGCTTTTATTTGTATCTCTTCTACCCAGAAAATTATCAAATTTGGTCTTTTAATTCAAACTGAGTCTTTGCCTAGTATATAAGAAATACTCAGTTAATTTTTTTTATTAAGGTATCATTGATATACACTCTTATGAAGATTTCACATGAAAAACACTGTGGTTACTACATTCACCATATTATCAAGTCCCCCCATATCCTCCTGCAGTCACTGTCCATCAGTGTAGTAAGATGCCACAGAGTCACTACTTGTCTTCTCTGTGCTACACTGTCTTCCCCATGACCCCCCTGCCAACACCATGTGTACCAATCATAATACCCCTCAATCCCCTTCTCCCTCCCTCCCCACCCACCCTTCCCCACCCCTCCCCTTTGGTAACTGCTAGTCCCTTCTTGGAGTCTGTGAGTCTGCTGCTGTTTTGTTCCTTCAGTTTTGCTTCACTGTTATACTCCACAAATGAGGGAAATAATTTGGTGAAGTACTCAGTGAATATTTTTAAGTGACATTGAATCTTGCTAAATTCCTTTTTATCTTTTGTTTTGTTTTAGATGGGCCATAAAACATGAAGGGACCACCAAGCCGGGCCAGTGGAAACATTCCAGAGTTGAAAATCCTCTCTGGAACAAGCTTACCTACATGTGGCCAGTCCTTCCCAACGGCCAACTAAATGAGGTTGTATTGCTTAGTATAAGAGATGATTGTTGAGACTTTCTTTCAGGCCCAAAATATGTGGTCAATTTTTCTGAAAATTTCCATGCAGCTTTTGAATTGCAGTTGGTTGTTAGATATGAGATCAATTCATTCTGTTCTACCAGTTAATTAGAAAAATGTATTTAAGTCTTCCATTATGGAAATGAATTTATTTCTTCTTATACTCTGTCAAGGTTTAGTTTATATATTTTGAAATTTAATTATTAGACAAACACATGTTCAGAAATGTTATATCTCACTGGTGAATTGAAAATTTACCATTATACAGAGATTCTCTATAGTTCTAGTAAAAGTCTCATTTATATTAGCAGAAATATCCCAGTTGTTTTTAGTTATTACTTGCCTATTATGTCTTCTTTCTACTACTTTTACTTTCTGCATTTATATATTTTTATGTTTTAAGGTGGCCTGCAATAATCAGTATGTAGTTAATTCAAAAAGAAATTGTCTAACAATCTATATCTCTAAACTAAAGGATTTGGCCTTTTCTATTTATTATAATGACAAATATATTTGTATTATTTTTTGCTTTTATTTGTCCTGACTTTTCTGTTTCATTTTTTACCATTCTTATATTCTAGATTTTTTTATCATTACATTTTCCCATGTACTAGTTTGCAAATTATACTGTCCATTTCCATTCTTTTTATTTTTCTGAATATTTCAATTAATATATGTAAATGACAAAAATCTGAAATGAACAAATATATTTATTCTTCCCTAAAATAATCAAGAACGTTAAAATATAACTTCAGTCGTATGATTTGTAATATAAGCTATTATTATCATGTTCTTAAAACTATTTCACAAGATATTAACATTGTATGTAGCTAATATTTATTTAGATTTACCCCCAATAACTTCTTCTTACCTCTCTATCTTTCCACCTGTGGTTACTTTCCTTCTGCCTACTATACCTTTCTTTTAGTTATTGGCAATCAATTCCTTCAGTTTTTACTTATCTGAGAATGTCTTTATTTTGCCCTTATTCATGTAAGGTATTTTCCCTTATCCATCACTGACTTCTACTTCTCACTGTTGTTTTTGAGGAGTCAGCTGTTATTCTTAGGGTTATTCCTTTGAAGGCAATCAAGCTTTTCTCTCTGACTGCTTTTAAAACTTCCCTTTCCTTTGACATTCTTCAGTTTCACTACAGTATGTCTGAGAGAGGATTTCTTTTTATTCTTCCTGCTCAGGGTTCTTGAATCTGTGGGTTGGTATCTTGCATCATTTCTGGAAAAATTATCACCCATTAGCTCTTCAAATATTCTTTTTCCTATAACCCCACACTACATGCTTTACAAAAAATTCTGATTAAGGGTATGTTAGAGCTTCTCATTTTGACCTCCATGTTTCTCAACCTTTCTTTCATATTCTATCTCTTTGTCTTTTTATTATATATATATATATATATAT